CCTCACCTAATGTGCATGATGCAATGCTACCTTTCAAAACTATTAAGAAATGAGTATAATTGTGATGGATGTGTTACTTAGTTCAATGTAAGCATTTCACATTGTATATTGAAGCAGTGCCCTGAACCCCATAAATGCATCAATGTAAAGTTATGATTTAATAAAAAAACAATTGAAAAGAAAAAAAAAAGAATGTGAGCTGGACTATAGTACAACTCTAGCTCAGGATGAAGGAGAGAAATGGAGTGGGAAGGGAGGGTGGGGGATGGTTTGATAGAGAGAGGGTAAAGGGCAGGACCACATCTATGGAGCATATTGCAAGGGTTCAAGTCAAATCTGTCAAGTGTAGAACATAAATGCCTTATCACAATAATCAAGTAAATAAGACGAAAGCTCTGTTGATTGGTGTGATATAAGCACGTCAGATTGTATAAAAAAAAACACATTGTACCCCACATATGCATAAATATGTTCATGATCTATGTGTGTATGACTTAATTAGAAAAAAAAAAATAGAAGAAAAGAAAAAGGCCCCGTCTGGTAATTAAGGGGTTTGCTCTAGTCACAGGGAACAATGTGGGAGTTTTAAAATGTAAGACATTGAAACAAAATTTTATTATGTAATTTTTAAAGTTGCCATTATGTGACAGGTTCTAAAACTTCTACAGCTGTATTAGTGATTATAATGGGCGGGGGGGGGAGCAGGAAATAAAATTTCGTATTTCTCAAAAGGGAAAAAAAGGCCTAAAAAAAGCTTAGAAATACCATAAGGAGGCCTCTCCTATCAAGGGTGGCCACCTCCTGTGGCTCACACTGTACAGAGTAGGGACCAAGAATGTCCACTGGATACTTAATCCAGCCTGACCTCCATCATCACACTAATGCTTTTTTTTTTTTGAGACAGAGTCTCACTATGTCGCCTTTGGTAGAGTACTGTGGCATCACAGCTCATGGCAACCTCAAACTCTTGGGCTTAAGCAATTCTCTTGCCTCAGCCTTCCAAGTAGCTGAGATTGCCGGCGCCCACCACAAAGCCCAGCTATTTTTTGGTTGTAGTTGTCATTGTCGTTTGGCAGGCCCGGGCTAGGTTCGAACCCGCCAGCCCTAGTGCATGTGGCCAGCACCTTAGCCGCTGAGCTATAGGCGCCGAGCCCACATTAATTCTTTTTTGTTGTTGTTCCTTTGAGACAGAGTCTTGCTCTGTAGCCCAGGCTAGAGTGTCCTGGCACCAGCCTAGCTCACAGTAACCTCAACTCCTGGGTTCAAGCACTCCTCCTGCCTCAGCCTCTCAGAGTGCTAGGATTACAGGCATGAGCCATGCCACTGGCTACGCAAAGAGGAAAATGAAACAGCAGATATTAAATGATAAAGAAACGTGAGGCCCTAACACCTCAGGCAAGAGGTGAGCTGGTGACCTGTATTTTAGGCTTGGCTTCTGGGCCTGGGCTTTTCTGTAACCCCGAGCTCTGTAGCAGAGCTGCCCGTGTGGGGTGCGGTGGTTACAGTGCAGCTGGATAGGAGAACCCCGGGATTCTACCACCACCAAACCGCAAGCCAGTCAGATTATACACTTAAAAAAGCCGATGAGAATCCCACGGCCAAGTGCTCCAGCTTGGTCCTCCCCACACTTGGAACAGGCCTGACCAAGCAGGCCTCCCTGGAGGGCCCGGCACATACTTGAGCTCCTGTGCGATGGCTGCGATCTGCTCCACGCGGTCCTGGTGCGCCGCCAGGTCGCTCTCAAACGCCTCGTGCTTCCGCAGCAGCGCCCGCACCTCCGTGAGCGACGCCGACTCGTAATCCTTCTGCAGCAAGGTCTGCTCTTTGCCTGCAAAGGTGGCGGCACGAAGTATGAGCACGTTGATGACACAGCAGCGGCTTCGAGCCAGCCACGCTCTCGGCCGAGAGCACAGGGCTGAAGCTGGAGTGCAGCATGTTACTGCGAGCCATGTCCTCACCCCTCTCCATTCTGAAAATGCACGTCTACAACTGCAGGCGGGGCCAGGGGCATAGGGAGGGTGTTCTAAAAAACAGAGCAGTACTCCTCATTGTAGGTGGCAGGTATCTGACTCCCCAGGGTGATGCTCAGGGAAGCTGGTCATTAGTCACGCTCAAGAACTACAGGGGATGCTAGTTACACTTGTGCTAGACCTGCCTGCCCACTGGTTCCACCCCGGCCCCATTCTTTCTATTGAAAACTGCATTTTGTGTCAGTAAACGTAATCTGTGCTTTGTTTTTCCTGATAATAAACAGTAGATATTTTCCTCTCTGAACCTCCTTTTATTTCTCCATAAATATTTCTTAAAACCGGCAACTGCTGTGGTTATAACTGGATCTACATGGATTCCCTGGCTAACAACTATTAAGAATTTAATACAAAGTTGGAAATGAAAGCAAACGTTCACATATTGAATGGTACCAACGCAGCACTTACTATGTGCCAGATACTACTTTAAACGCTTCATAAATATGAATTAAACCTTTGTAAAAACCCTAGGAGGGAGGCACTGGTGTTATTCCGACTCTGGAGAAGAGGCTGGGGCACTGAGAGGTTATGACCTCAACCAGGGCACACAGCTGCTAAGTGTCAGCGCTGGGACCCCAACCCGCCTGGCTCCAGCACCCACGCCTATACCTACCTGCCTGTGCAACATCAAAAACCAAGCAGTAACAGAGTAAAAGGGAATCCAGGGATGAGGGGAAATCTCCCCAACCTCCCTCCAAATGGATTATTATGTGACGGGGAGGATGTTCTTCTATCTCAGCGGGGTCAGCTATGTTGTCCAATAGACAGCCAAAAACCTATGTGACCACATGATCAGGGCTATGGAAACAGGTATGTGTGTAAGGCCTGAAAGAAGTAGATGAACTGGAGTGAAATAAAGAAGTTAGATTACAGAGGGGCAGCGCCTGAGGCTCAAAGGGGTAGGGCACCAGCCCCATATGCCAGAGGTGGCAGGTTCAAACCCCGCCTCGGGCCAAAAAAAAAAAAAAAAAAGTTCGATTACAGAAAGCGATACCTTGCATGCTTTCTTTCCAATCAGATTTTCTAAGTAGGGGATGATGTTGCTTTGTGGCATGTAATACAAATCCTACTGGCAGTGACCCACAGCTAGGGAACAAACAGGTACTCGTGGAATCAAACAAAAAGGACAGAAGGCGGGAGGCATTGCACAGGTAAGTGTGTGAAGAACACATTTTGGGTGCCTATTTTGTGCAGAAATCAATTATGTGCTTGATTAGAAAATAAATGTTCACGCTTACCTCTCAAAGAAATTTAGCACTGGGAAAAGGACAAAGGGAAAAACGTGTCCGCAACGTCACAGACACCAGGGACAGAGTTGGTAAGGTAAGGACACGTCTTGGCTCTGAGCACAGCTCAACCCTGTTATTGTATTTTTTTTTTTTTTTTCAAAACAACCACCCCCTGTCCTCTGTGCTTACCGTACGCCCAGGTCTCGTGCGTTGAGGCCTTCTGTCTGAACTTCTCGGCCAGGTGTTCCAGGCGCTCCAGCCTCCGTATCTCGTTGAGCAGCCACTCCTCGTACCCCTTCTCGGCCTGCTCCAGCCTCTGCCAGGCACCAGCAATGTCCTGGGAAGGTTCCGGATCACAAGGCACGGCTGTCACACCCTGGCTTCTTGGGCTTCTTCTATAAACAATCCCTAGAGCTATGTGACCCCCAGTGTTTTTTCCTTTTGTTTTCCTTTCCTTGTCCCTCCCCCACAAATAACCATTCAACTATTTTGGCTCCCAAATATCTTATTATCGCTGGAAGCTTTTAGAAGTGTCACCAGCTAACCTGATACTTCTGCAGATGTGGAGGGTTGACCTTTTCTGGCTATAAGAAGGTAAATCCCCCAAATGACTCAATTATAAACAGCTCCTATTCAGTGACTGGGCTGAATCACCCCGCCAGGCAGCTGTCAGCGACGTTCCCTGGGCATCCAGTACCGATCAGTGGGAAACTGTCAAGAGTGAGCAGCACTGTGACTTTCCCTGCCCTCACGCGCTGTCCTGATCATTAGGGGAGATGGACGATAAATAAGCTATTAAACAATTCACTTAGGAAAATGATAAACACTACAGAAGAAAACAAAACAGGCTCAATCCATACCAAGAGCCCTGCAGGGTGGTCCCTCTACACGGGTTACTTAAGAGAAGCCCCTCTGAGGAAGTGACGTGTGAGCTGAAACCCCAATGGCAGAAAAAGCCAATTAAGAATTGAGGGGTGAGGGAACAAGCTCAAAGGCAAGATGTGCCAGGTGTGGGGCAAGAGGGACAGCAGGCCAGCACAGCCATGCTGTAGGGAGTGGGGACAGAGGAATTAGAACGCCATCAGCAAAGCAGAGCAGGTGGGTGTCTGATCATACAGGACCTTGTAAGCCAGGGTAACAAACCTGGATTTTATGCTAAAGACTCTGGGAAGTCACTGGAAGATTTTGAGAAGAAAGATGACAAGGAGATTAGATTTACATTTTTGAAAGATGACAGAGGCTACTTTGTAGGGGGATGAATTTTAGAGAAAAAAAAAAAGAGAGAGAGAGACAGAGAGAGCGCGCCAGTGCAGGGCCCAAGGAGAGATGACAGTAGCACAGCATGGGCTGAGGGCAGTGGAGGTAAAGAGAAGGGTATTATGGGTATTTATTTAAAATATGCTTTGGAAGAAGAGCCAATGGGACTGGCTGAGAAACCGGATATAAGAAAATGACAGAAGGGAAGACTCGAGGACAAAACCTGGGCTTCGGGCTTGGGCCACTTAGAGGACAGTGGTGCAATTTACTAGTATAAAGGAAACTTTGGGGGACTCTTTTGGACAGCTAAGTTTGAAACGCTTTTGAAACATTTTGGTGGACATATGAGCCTGGAACTCAGGAAAAAGTCAGAGCTGGAGATGTAAGATTTGAGAGGCAAAAGCATTTAGGTGGTAATTAAAGCCATGGGCCTGGGTAAGATGACCTGGAGGGTGGCATGAGTGGGAAGAAGGCCCAGCACCAGTACTAGGGAGCGGTGTAACACTAAGTATGGACAGAGAATGCCCGGCCTCGAGCAGAGGTGGCGAAGGCCCAGCACCAAGACTAGGGAGTGTGCAACATCCACA